AGTACCTGAAATTCTCTGACAAGTGGTTTCTTCCTTTGAAAAAAAATAATTTGCAGTTGCGTCTTTCAATTTTCTCTCTTCCCCCACTCCTCCTCCTTCCTTGATATGGTGAAAATCCTAACAAGCAAGATACAAGCTGCCTACAGTCAAATTTATTGCACACTGTCAATATGATGGAAGACATGGTATGGGTTGGAACTGCAGGCAGATGTGCAGTGCCATTACTGGGAAAACTAAGTGTTCTCCAATACATAGCATAGATAAAAATGTGTGGCTGTAAATATATAGAAATAATTAAAAATTATAAATAAATGAATGAAGACTGCCCTCTGTTCAGAATTGCCTTTTTGTGTTGTGTTTTGCAGGAGAAGTGCCATGTTGAAGATTTCATACTGCCTAGGATTGTAATGAAATAGGAGCTCAGCCCTGTGCTTGATGTTTTCCAACTCTCTGCCACAGAACAGCTTGGAGTAAACAAGTCTGTTATTAACATGTTGCTCAAAAGCAGTTTGAAAACACAAAAGCTCCAACATATATTTTTGTCTTAAAAAGACACACTGAGAATTCTTTGCTGCCTCAGGAAATAGATATGCAGCTTGATGGGCCATGCCCTGTTTTGGAGTAAGTTACATAGAATTTCTTTTCTCTTATTCAAAAATAAACAATCATGATCTGCCCAGATGTTCTTTTCGTCTTTGCTGATTATTTCTTCTCTTTTTTCCAGCTTACACAAACCAACTGCGCCACAAATAAGAGAGTGATGCATTACAGTTGAAGATGGCAAAAGTTTGCCTTCCTCTTACTCAAGCAGTTCAAGCAATAATGGTAGTTTTGAGATATAAGTTTGAGTATTTCTTGAACCCTCATAAGCCCATGAGGTCTTTGCTGACTGAAAATTCAGGTTTTTTGAATACAGGAGAGATCCTTGCTGGCGGGCAGAGCTGTGCTGATGCTGTGTTGTAGAGTAGGACAAGCAGCGTTGTAACAATCTCCCTCCAGTAGTTTCTGTCTTCCAGCATGAGTTCCCTGCTCACCTTAATTTGTTGATGAGGAGATTAGCAGGCAGGAATGAGCGAAGTTAGAGCATCAGCTGTTGGTGGAATAATTTCCTGGCTCAATACTCCCAAACCAAAATCAGCTTCTGCAGGAGATTCTCTCTGTGCCTCACAGCAGGTCTCAGTGCTGGCTCCAGACCCAAATATTTTGACCCCATGGAGGCCCAGCACAGCGCTGGTGTACAGTGCTGAACTCTGGGAGCATCCAGATGTAGGCAGCATTCAGCTCGTCCAGCATGTGGAAACCTCTCTGATGGTGTCCATCACTGATATCTTGTGGCACCACCAGCTCCCAGGAGCACATCTTCCCTGGTTCTTGCTGGGCTTTGAGGAAAGCACATGGGTTCCTAAATGGAAAACTCCCCTCAGCTTCAACAGGGCAGCATCAGGCCCTTTGCATCTTCTACTGTGCTGGTCTTCACCGAGCACCACCAGGCTGCATCAAGTAGCCTGTTCCTAAAACGGATGAAGAGAAATTCTGTGTGGCTGCCAACTCTTCATCCCACCTAACTGGACAAGGGGAAAATAAAGAATGAAAGGCTGTGCAAGTCTGAATTTGGCCATCTCTCCTCTCAGACACATCTGTTTCCATGCAAGCAAGAAGAAAATGGGTGACTAACACATAGCTCTGCAGCTCAACAGCTGGCCCCTGGGTCCTCCTCCATGGCACTAAGTGTGTCCCTGGCAAACACAAGGTTGAGATTTTAAATGAGGAATTAATGAAAATGCACTCTTTTTCCTGCTTGTTGTCACTTTAAATTCAGTTTCCATGGAAACAGCTATGGAAAGGCTGCCTGGAGGAAGCCAGGAGAGATCTCTGCCTGGCCGCTTTCCCCTCTGGGCTGCCAGCTGAGCCACCCCAATTGTCAGGCTTTTAGCCACCCCAATTGTCAGAGGTTTTTGCTATTGTCATTTACACTTGGAATATGAGTGATGACTCCTCGTGGATTCTCTCTCTAAGGAGTCCTGAGGTGGTCAGCCCTGCTCCTGTCACCTGCTACTGGGCTCTTTGCAAGTGGAGCTCCTCTCCACCCATCTGGTGCAGCACAGGCCCATCCGAACCCCCACGACGATGCTTTGCTGCAAATGTCACCCCTGTTAGAGACATCCATTCCACTGCTTTTTTCTTTTGAAATGTAGTGGTGCATGTGATTTGAGTACACAGACTGAGCTGGGAGCAGTGGCAGAGGGACAACTTTTTTGTTAATTCAGTGTTTATCCTGGGGGAACATTTGAGATCCCTCCTGGAGTACTGCATCCAGCCGTGGGGTTCCCAGCACAAGGCAGACACCAACCCATCAGATAAGGTCCAGAGAAAAGAAACTAAAATGGTCAGAGGGCTGGAGCACCTCTCCTGTGAAGACAGGCTGAGAGATTTGGGTGTGTTCAGCCTGGAGAAACAGAAGCCCCAAGGAGATCTTTTTGCGGCCTTTCACTACATTAAAGGGGCTCACAAGAAAGAAAGAGAGACACTTTTACTTCAGGGTGTGTAGTGAAAGGACAAGGTGCAATGGTTTTAAAGAGGGTAGGTTTAGATTGGACGTCAGAAAGAAATGTTTCCAAATGAGGGTAGTGAAACATTGGAATAAATCATCCAGAGAAATTGTGGATGCCTTATGCCTAGAAGTGTTCAAGGCCAGGTTGGATGGAATCCTGAGCAACCTGGTCTAGTGGAAAGCGTCCCTGCCCAGAGCAGGGGGTTTGGAACTAGATGGTCTTTAAGGTTCCTTTCAACCCAAACTGTTCTATGATCTTATGAGCAGGATCCAAAGCAGACTGTAAGGCAATGATGTTTGTCTGTGTAGATCCACACTTTTTCCAGGTGAACAAAACCAAAGGGTCCTAGACCTACAATATTTGGGGATGACACAGTCCCAGAAAATGAGGCTGGTCCTACTACTGTTGAGATGCCCCCACTTCCATTTTTATTAGCATTTGAGGAGCCTCTAGTAGGTCTATGTAAGGTTGTCTTAAAGAAAACTGAATTGTCAGTGGAAACTGATTAACAATATAAGACCTATGACCTATCCACCCTCCCAGCTGAGTTCTGCAGATAAACACAGTTCCAATGTAAAAACAAAAGCAATTTTAAAATGTGATTAATTTTAAATGTAACTAACCCTAGTCAATATAATAGTTCAGTGTTAGCCATAATTGCTTCAGATACATATAAAAATGTTGTCTTCCTTGGTTACCTAGATGATTGCCTATACTTAGAAAGGCAGACTCTCATATCTGAGATATAATACTGAGATCATTTTTTGTGAGCCAGATGAGCAATTTCTTGCATATTGTACCAGAAAAAAACCCTCTGCTTGCTGCTGGTACAGACTCAGATGGAGTATAACCTTCAATATTGAACAACCAGGCTTCAAAGAGGATGTAAACTTCTACTGGGGGAAATTCAGAGAGCAATGGACATAAGCCAGAGGTCTAGAAAATAGACCTATGGGACAGAATTGAACAAACTGAAGTTATTTAGTACGAGAGGAGGCAAATCAAAGGGCTATATCTCAGTAAAAGGATGAAGTAAAGAAGAGAGGAAGACAATAAAATGCATTCCATGCCATAGAATCATAGAGTGGTTTGGATTGGAAAGGACCTTGGAGATCATCTAGCTCAAGCCCCCTGCAGTGGAGAGTGACACCTGCCATTAGATCAGGGCCCTGGCAAACCTGGCCTTGAACACTGCCAGGGATGGGGCATCCACAGCTTCTCTGGGCAACCTATGCCAGTGTCTCCAGCATGTCCAGGTCTTTCTGGTGCCCATAGTAGATAGAAGGTAGTTAACAAGGTTAAACTGCAAATGGGGAAAACTTCCCCAGGGATAGAGACAGCTGTAAAATAAGGACTTAGGTTTTTCTAAGCCAAATACCCCCATCTCAAAGTAGGATGGGCAGGTGCTTTCTCTCTCCTGACATAGGACATTTTCAGTCTGAGATGCTCTCCTATCTTCGGACAGCCTGTTCCAACACTTCCTTGTGAGTTCCCTTTCTGTGAAGCTAAGCTTAAATCTTTACTGTTTATTCCCAGGAACTCATTCACCAGCTGTGTTTTCCTCACTTTTGTGGCCTTTGGGCACACCATGATGCTCTGATCCCTTTCACAGGAGCTGCTCCTTTACCCACCATTTCCCTCCCAAACAGAAGGGCACAGTCATGGTAGAGCCCCCTCTGTCCAGGTTTCTCCTCCAGTTCCCCTAGATCATTTACATGCTGCTGTCTTTCTTCAGCATGCTGGGATAACTCTTCTGGTACCAGGAGGGAATAGCTTCCTGCTAGACTCTGCGCTGGTGCTGCCTCACCTTGATTTCTGTGCACAGTTTTGGGTGCTGCAGTGTAAGAAAGACATTAAACTGTTGGACAGCGGCCCAAGGAGGGCAGTGATGGTGAAGGGTCTAGAAGGGAAGCTGTGTGAGGAGCGGCAGAGCTTCCTTGGTCTGTCTGTTTAGCTCAGAGGAGACCGAGGGGAGCCCTCATCGCAGTTACAGCTTCCTCATGAGGGGAAAAGGAGGGGCAGACACTGATCTCTTTTCTCTCATGACCATTCTGGAGGAACAGCCTTCTCAAGGGTGCTTTGGGTTGGATATCAGGAATATGTAATTCACCCAGAGGGTGGTTGGGCACAGCAGAGCCTGACAGAACTCAAGAAGCATTTGGACAATGCTCTCAGGCACGTGGTGTGACACTTGGGCATGTCCAGTGCAGGGCCGGGAGCTGGATGCAATGATCCTTATACACGCCTTCGAACCCAGGATATCCTGTGACACTGGAACTTCCTGCGGCCACCGCGGATTCCCGACCCTTCCCACGGCCCCGCCAGGGCGGGACTCGAACCCGCGGCCCCGCCGCAGGGAGGGCCCGCCCCGCCGTGCAGTGCGAACGGAGGAGGTTTGTCCCTCACGGGCCGCCGTGTGCCGGTGCGCTCCGCTGCCGCGTTCGCCGCCTGCTCGTCTCGTCCGCCGCCCGGCCCGGTACGGCCGCTGCCCGCCATGAGCGACAAGGGCGAGCTGGACCTCACCGGCGCCAAGCAGAACACGGGCATGTGGCTGGTGAAGGTGAGGAGCCGCCGCCGCGGCCCCAGGCCCGGCCCAGCGCGGCCTGTGACAGCCGGGTGCCTCCGTTCGTCCCCGCCCCGCCGTGCCCGGGGTGGGCGCCGCGAGGCCGGGGTTGCCCGCGTCGGGCTCGCCCTGTGGCTCGGGACAGCCTCTGTGCCTGTTCCCCTCCTCGGGGGACAGCGCGGGGCAGGGCCCGGACGCCTGCTGAGTAAAGGAGACACCGCAGGGAAAGTTGGGCTGCTGGGGAAGCTCTCACAGAATCAGAATGTTGAGGGCTTAGAATGAACCTTAAAGATCCTTCAGTCCCAACTCCCCCTGCGGTGGGCAGGGACATCTCCCACTAGACCGGGTTGCTCAAGGCCTTATCTGGCCTGGCTTTGAACATTTATCTTTGAACATTTCCAGGGATGGGGCGTCCACAGCTTCTCTGGGCAACTGTGCCAATGTCTCACCACCCTCACAGTAAACATCTTTTCCTTCTCCTTGCTAGTGGTTTGTGACGAGCAACAAACATGGCCGTATAACTTTTATTTCCCCAAAACTTTGAGAGTTGGAAAAAGTTTTGAGTGTGCCCAGATTCACGTCCTGATAAAAAAACTGTCCACATCCATCAAGGAAAGTAAACCCCAGTGTCTGGTCATTACAGCTCCCTTTGGTGCTTAGAGTGAAATACAGCTCTAGTGGAGGGGCTGTGAGAAGATACTGAGAGTGTCAAATCAAACCTGTTTGGTGCCGGACCACACTCTGTCTGGTGCCACCACTAACAGGCTGGCACTGTGCTGTTCCCTGGAGTCAGTGTCTTTGCTGCCAAGACATTTTGCTGCCACTACCAGGCATTGTTTCATAAAGAGGAACTTGAAGCTGATGGGGGAGCGTGTGTCCTGCCTGCTTCGAGTCCCCTCTGGGGATGCTGCTCTTTTTCTAGACCTATATTTATTCTCTCTTGGGAGAAGCAGTTCCTTCCTCCCATTCCTCCTTTAGGAATAGGTTCAGATCTTCAACTTCAAAGATCCTGTGGGGGCAGGGTGGTATACCGAGATACTAGTCCTGGGCAGGCGGTGAGGGGGGTTTAACACTATCATACTTCAGCTACCAAAACTTCTTGCTTAAAAATAGCCCTTAAAAATGGTCATTTGGGGATTTCAGACTTGCTTTGCTGTGCAGAATTTTTGGTGGGCAAGTTGCTGCATCTGGTTCCTCCTCTGTACTGACACCTGAGTGTGTGGTGTCACAAAGCCACAACAAGCACTGTGCAAGTGCTCTAATTGTAGTAGCTTTTCCTGGGCACTGTCAATGAATGCTGGCAGCAGAAAGCTGCAGAACTAGATCATGACATGCTGAGTGACAGGATGGTAAAATGGCAGATGAAATTAAGAGTTGAAAGATGTAATCTGGTGTGCATAGAGAAAAACTGTCCTAATTATAGGTATGCAGCAGTTGGGTTTCTGCTGGTTGTTGTCATTCAGGAGGAGTGGGGTTTTTTTCTGTACAATGAGATAACTCTATAAGAACATGTCAAATGAGCAGAGTCCGCATTGGACATGATTACAAAAGACACAGAAAACAAAGAAGAAAATATTACTGTACCATGATGTTGCCTCTGTCCGGAATGCTCTGCGTAGCCATGGTCTCATCCCCCCTGCTATGGAAAGTGTACAGCAGACCTGGGAGCAGTACAGAGGAGAGCACTAGGTCTGGTCTTGGTAACAAGGAATGATGGCTGTGGAGGGAACTCCTAAATCCATTGTTACCTTTTAGACTGGCAAGAGGATTGATTTGGAAATCTTGTAGAGATCTGAAGCAATGAGTAATGTCACAGGTGGATAAGGAAGAAGTGAATAGGCAAAGGTGAACAGGAAAGAATCAGTTCAAACACTAGAATTAGAGGTGTGTCAGATTAATTCATTGGTGGGGCTCAGTGTGAGCCAAGGAGGTACTGTTTTGCACAATGTGTAGTTAAATTTTGGAACTTGCAGTTAGAAATTCTGAATTTCAAAACTTTGCAGAAGTTCAAACACAGTTAGTCAAACTCAGGCAAGAAAATTGAATTGAGAGATTAAAAAGTAATATGTTGCCAAACCCCATGTCTGCTGAAACACCCTAGAAATTAGAAGAGCATGCTGGGGAAATAAATTTTCTTTGTATGTTCCTCCTGAAGTAACTGCCAATGGCTGCATTTGGAGACAGGACATGAAGTTGCTTGTCCTTTAGTCTGATGTTTCCTGAAGCAAGGAATTTTCAGGCACATTTGTGCTTAAAGTTGGTGCCACTCTGTTTAATGAGAAAACAGGACTGAAACGAAAGCTGGAGTATTACTCTTCCAAGTAACTGTTGATGTAGTCCTTCATACATGTGTTCTGAACTTATGTCTGTCTCCTTGTATTGTAAGGATAGTAAAAAATATTGAAAATATGCTAACAGTGATAGACCATAACATGAGGTATTTGATTTCCTTTGGACTTGAGCTTGGAAACAACCACATCTGTTAGCAGGACTTCCAGCCCAGTGGCAAGACAGTGCATAGTACCTGTACTTTTTATCTTCACTAGCTAGGACAATGAGGATGAATTTATCCTTCCTTTGAGGGAGAGAGCATTCAGCTCTGATGGAATAAAAAACCTGGCTTATTTGATTTCCTTTTAGCATGCATTGTGCTAGCACAGGAAGTATTCCAGAGAGACTATTTAACAGGCAATAAAAAAATGTAGTGATGAGTATTTTAGAAGCATGAGCAGTAAAAGGAGGTACCATAAAGAGAGTGAATTACTTTAGTACAAATTCAGAAAGCCACTAGTTTTTTGTTTCTGTGTTTTCAGTGAAAGCTAAGGTAGAGAAATAGTAAGACTATTTGGTTATGTACTTGTGGTAAAGTGAAGCCCATTTAGTGTTAGCCATTAGAATGTTAATTTTCTTGTTCCCTGAGTGTGTTGGTCAGATTTTTAAATTTAATCTGCTGCATTGTTCTATAGCTAGAAAGAGGATATCTTTATTTAAGTTTTTTTTGTATTTTCAAAGAATATAGACTCTGACATCAGCCTTAGTTTCTGTTGTATGCACTGCGCCTGTGTTGCTATATAGAGAAAGAACTAATTTAGTTTTTTGCAGAAAAGTGGAAGTAGTTTGTTACAGAGAGGGGCTGCTTGTATGTTCCCTTCTAAAGGGGGGTAGGAAGCTGTGCCCAGGCTGAAAGATGAGAGGAGCAGGGGCCCTGCTGTCCTACACTGCCTGTAGTGTGCCTCATGTGCTGCAGCCTGGGCTGTGCTGTGATGTGAGTAGCAGGAGGAGAGCAGTCCTGGGAGGAAGGCTTCGAGTGGTGCTCCTTAGTATGTCAGATTTGTTCTAGTGATTAAACTGTAATTTTTTTCTTTTTTGGAGAGAAGAGTGTTCTTACCTACAAATCCCAGAATAAAGACCACTTGTCCTGAAAGGCTGTGTTCAGTTGCCTTTCACTGCACAGGCACTCTGTCCACATGCTGCTCTTTCTGTGCATATGCAGTTTTCAAAATCCTCCTATGGGATCTGTGAAAATTCTGCCCTGTAAAAACAGTTTGCTCTTGTTTTCTATGTGTTCTTTCAAGGATTATTAAGACTTTGAAACCTGACTCTTTACCATAATTATTATGTTAAAGTTAAAAGAAAGGTGCAAAATAAGATGTCTGTGGCATTTAAGACTTTAGTCTTTCCTGATTGTTTACGTCATTAGCATGTGGGTTTGTGAGTAGCACCTGGTTTTAGCTGAAGTATCTATGGATAGCTGGAAGTAATCCTTTGATCATAGCCCTTCATAACCCTTTGTCTTTCTCTGCATGGCCCTTGACTGCAGGTAGGCCAGCAGAAAGATGATTAAATGCACTCTTTGAGACTTTCCTATGCAGTATGATTGATCTGCAACCTCTTAATCTGACTTAATTCCCAGTCTGAATGTATTATATAGCAAGTCAATGATTTTAACACCACAAGAGCCCTTCACTCCTTGTCCACTCATACTGAATGTGCATCTACCTTATTATCTGGCAGTATAAATAGAGATTAGTTGCAAGCATGTAATAATACTTCTGTTGAGTAGCTGGAGCATGTCATAGCATTTATCTTGACTTTAGAAAGAAAACAGTATCTGATCTGGCATGGAATCTGCTGTAGCAAGTTACCACTTTGAAAACTGGAAATATGTATATCAATAGATTGTGCCAATTCTTGGCTTTCTGTTGTGCTTTTGTGGTGTTTTTGACCAAAGTTGTCTGAACTTCATGGGAACCTGGACTACCATTTAGTTTGTCTGAGCAGTTGGAGGCATCTGGATTTTGTACTTATTCTACATGTGCTTTATGGGGTGCTGTGAGTCTTAAGCTAAGTGCTAACTAAGCACCAGTTCCAAGATCTGTAGTTCTTGAAGAACTGATAAATGCACAGTTAGTGTTAATTTAATTTGAGCTTCAGGAAGTTAGGGGGTTGTTCTTTGTCAGTAAGTTACTGGAACAGGCTCTCTTTCTCCCCAACTTGGTTTAGTTTTACTCTGTGCAAGACAAAACTTAGGCTTCCAAGTGCTTCTTTGCTGCTTGAAACAGAAAATGCCCCAGGCATAGCTTAGTGTATTTCTATTCATTACTGGCTGTGCCTCACACTGTTTTTCCACGTGGGCCCAGATGTTTTCAGTAGCTGTGGACTGTGTGAGCCAGGATGAACACTGTGCCAGTAAAGAACATGGCTGTAAAGTTCTGAGGAGTGTGCTGCTTGCCAGAGGCCTTTATTGTACATTTTGAGCCCAGGTCGGTCACCCAATGCTGCAGATAGCACAGCCTTTGCAACTGAAGGAATTGGTGTGTAGGTGAGGTAACAGCACTGCAGCAGCTTTTAATTCTCCATTTATTCAGGTCTTGTTCCTGTCCCTGGACTAATCACTACTTTGTGCAGCTGTTCTGGAAAATGGGTTGGGGTGCTGCTTTGGTTGTTCCACCTGCTAAACACAAAATCAGTGCAACTAAAACATAGAAGTCACCCACTCCTCCTGGCTAGATCAGTCTGTTCTTTCCACATACTGACCAGCTGCACAAAGACTTTGCCCAGTGCAGTGAAGAGCTGGGAATGAGTGATGGGAGGCAGATTTGCCTAGCGTGGTTGTGCTGTTGGAGCAGTGGCAGTAGGGTGTGGTCTACTGCTCAATGTGTTTGAGCTTCCCTGACTCTAAGCCTTCCCTTCACTCCAGAAATTGCCTAACTTCTCATCACTGTGGTTGGTTGGTTGATATTTTTCCCAGAGAGATGATAATTTCTGATGAATATTTAAAAGTATAATTTTATCCGATAAAATATTGACACTACTTAGTTTAAGAATTTGATGCTGATCTTTTTCTGCCTTTTATGATTAGATTGTAGCATTTGAGATTGAAGTTACCAAGATTTTTCTCTCATTTGAGACTCTACATTGGTGTTATTTTTTGTGCTACTTTATTCTCTTTGCTCTCTCTAACTGAATATATATACACATATGTGTATATATGTGTGTGTGTGTATATCTATATAACAGCTCGCGAAGTGGGCTTGCATGAGCTTCATAAAGTTCAACAAGGCCAAGCACAAGGTCCTGCACTTGAGTTGGGGTAACCCCCTGTATCAGTGCATAGTATCAGAGGAAAGACTGAGAGCAGCTCTGAAGACAAGGACTTGGGGGTGCTGGTAGATGGGAGGCTGGATGTGACCTGGCAATGTGCACTTGCAGCCCAGAAAGGCAATTCTGTCCAGGGCTGCAACAAAAGCAGCGTGGGCAGAATGTCGAGGGAGGGGATTCTGTCCTTCTGCTCTGCTTTGCTCTGCTCTGATGAGATCCCCTCTGGACTGCTGTGTCCTGCTCTGGGGCCCCCAGCATAAGAAGGATGTGGACACGCTGTAGCAGGTGCAAAGGAGACCACAAAGATGATCAGAGAGCTGGAGCACCTCTTCTGTGAAGACAGATGGAGAGAGCTGGGTCTGCTCAGCCTGGAGAGGAAAAGGCTCCAGGGACACCTTACAGGTGCCTTCCAGTGCCTCAAGGGGGCTGGTGAGAAAGATGGGAACAGACTTTTTAGTAGGGCCTATAGCAGTTGGACAAGGAGTAATGGTTTTAAGTGAAAGGAGGGTGGATTTAGACTAGATGTAAGGAAGAAATGTTTTATAATGAGAGTGGTGAGGCACTGGCACAGGTTGCCCAGACAAGTTGTGGATATGGCATCCCTGGAAGCATTCAAGGTCAGGTTGGATACAACTCTGAGCAAACTGATCTAATTGCAGATGTCCTTGCTCATTGTAGGGGGTTTGGACTAGATGTCTATTAAGGCCCCTGCCAATCAAAACCATCTATGGCTGTCTATTGTCTACTATATTTAGCTCATACTTTATTCTGAAGTGGTCAAGGTAAAAGCATTTAAAGTATTTACCCATACACAGTTTATATGGTATTTTAAAATCTACTTTTCTTGAATTCTGTTGTCTTCTCTTAGGTCCCCAAATACTTGTCACAACAGTGGAGTAAAGCTTCAGGAAGAGGTGAAGTGGGAAAACTAAGGATTGTCAAGTAAGCCTTTACATTTACTGGTTGCATTTCTTAGAAGTTACCTGTGTAAAATAAGAATACGTTGCACCTGTTCTAAGACATAATCCACTTTCTTTCCAACAGTGTGCATATTTCTCTGATACATGATCAATGTTTGCTTGTGTAGTGATTAGGATTATAAATTGTACAAAATTATACTGGGGAGTCAGTCTGTCACATTACAGGAGGTGTGATTTCCTAGGTTTAAGGAAACCTAATTGCAGAATTTGGTTTTATTTACATGTGTTATTTTGCTACTTCTGTTTTCACATGCTGACTTTCCCCATTTATTCTTGGGCATCAGCATAACAAAAAATTGAATAGCTCTGGAGTGAAGATAAATAATAAAACTAGAATTTGAAATTGCTTTTTTTATCAGAAAGCTAAACTTGAGGAATTAGGCTATGGAAACATTAAATATTTTAAATATTTATATAATTGTTTAATTATATAAATTATAATAAATATTTATATATTTATTAAATATTAAATATTTTCTTTTTCAGAAATCAAGGAAGAACGGAAGTAAGTAATTGCTAAAGTTTATGTTTTGAATTCTAAAAAGTGTTTAAAATGTGCTGGTTTCTAATGTAACATATTTTTTGTTATACCTCTAGCGAAGCATTGTACCACAGAATCAGGAAAAGAGAATTCTGTTAGTAGCTCTGCCCATAGATGCCTGTGTGACTTGCATCAGGTCTCTCTGTTCCCTCACTTTGTTTACCTTCTCTTCAGACACTTTGAGATGTGTTAGTACAAAAGGCTGAGGAGGATGCACAGGAAAAGCATGTGGTGCTGTTGTGAAGTATCCCTCTTCAAGCTTCTTTAGCTTCTCTATTGAGTGTACAATGTGAACATGGCAAAGGAGCTCTGTTTAAACCTCTTCTGGGCTGCAATTCAGGAGTCCCAGGCTAGTAACACTTGTTGTGGTACTTCAGCACTTTTTCTGGAACTCAGCTGGCTGTGCAAAACATTTTTCAGCACTCATACTGAGCAATGGCTGAAAACCTATTATGCCATGTATTTTAACAAGTAAAATCAAGTTGTTCTCTGACTTCAGGAGGAGGTAATTTACAACTTTTTGAAAGCTGAGTAAATTTCATTTAGTACATGAAAGCTTTGAATTCTGTATTTCAGCAAGAGATCAGTATGGAAGGACTCATATTACTCTTTATTTTTGAAATAGAAATATGGTATACTACTTGTGTTTTCTCTCTTTTTATTTCCCCATAACTTGGCAAACAGTGTAATTGAGTCTGTTTGGTAACACTGTGGCAATTGTGACTGTTAGGTGTCATTTACTTTGAATGAAGAGCTTGCAAGCATCAGTGATATTGGAGGAAAGCCTGCTTCAGTCAGTGCACCAAGGGAACATCCATTTCTTCTGCAAAGTGTGGGAGGACAGACCTTAACAGTGTTCACAGAAACTTCAGTAGGTAAGTTAGAATTAAAGTTGTTATGACTTTACCAGTATGTCTGCTTTCAATAATTCAGTGCTGTAAAAGACAGAAAACTCGTAAGTCAGATTTTAGTGTTTTCTGCGTAGATAACACTGTTGTAATTTTTTTGTGTCTGTCTGTTTACTTGTGTGATTGAGCAGCTGATTTAAGTTCTCCGGGGTTATCATGTACATTTCATCTCTGAGTCTGCTGGAGAGAGCAGGGGGAACGTGGAATGCAGTGCAGAGTGCAGTACATTGTGCACAGTCTCCTTTAGGGTTTTGACTGAAAAAGCATGGTTTTGTGTTCCCACGTATTTTTTGTATGAACTAGTATTTGTTTTTTTCTCCTTAAATTGGTCTCTGCTGTGAATACAATTCTGTAAGAATGCTGATTTTTCCTCTGTTCATTTTTTTAAATTTAATCAGTTAAATATTGTGCATTTCCCAGCAACTAGAAAGGGTTATTTGAGGACTGTGGATTTACTGAGTAGAAGTTATTATTTTAACTGGGAGCAAAGGGTGGTTAGTTACATGAGAAATTTTTGGGAGGAAGCACTGAATAAGCATAGACCCTGTCAAAATTGTTTTTGTTTGAGATTAGCAAGCATAACATACAGTCAATGAGTTTTCCTGAAACTAATTTAAATGCAAAATGGCTAAAATATTTTGCTGTTGTGTTTAAGTTGGTACAGTGACAGTAGAGTCAAAAATATACTTTACTGTGCTTTTCTTGCTTGAATTTTTTGCTTTGAAAAATGAACATGACACAAATATTTCAAAATCCAGTCAGATTCCTCACAGGCATCGTATTTGTGAGGTTATGTTCGTGTGCTTAAATGTGTAGGCATGTTTTGAGCTCCATGTCCATTTTCAACAAATTTCAAAGTGTACTATGGCTAGTGGGAAAACAGGTGTCTGAAGGGTGGACTGTACAGATGTCCCAACTGAAGGAAAGGCTGCTACTGTATTGGATGCCAGAAAATCCCCATGGAAAAACCCACTATAATGACCATGAAAAAACACTCAGTAAGAATTTACATATCTTTGTCCATCAGATGATCCACAGTAAGACAATAATAGGAAATTGAAATTCATTCATTCCTAGGTTCACAGATCAGTATGAGTCTTCATATTATAATTAGCATATTGTTTTCTGAAATGCATGTTGTCCTTTTTCTTTTTTTAATCTGCACCATGTAACACAAGCAATATATCAGTTTCAGCCATGGGCCAAAGATTAGGCTGCTATGGAACTGCAGATGTCATCTAGAAGGGTGCAATTGAAGAATTAGGCAAATGAAATATGGATAAAAAGTGCTTCATGCACTACTGTTCTCAGTCAATACCCTTATTGAGGACTGACTTAAATCAACCAGAGCAAATGGTGTAAAGCAGTTGGGTTTGTTTTGTACAGGGTGGGATTTTTGTTTGATTGTGGGTTTGTGATTTTTTCCCCCCCTCCACCATTTTTTTAAACACATTGAATATCCTAAGATCTATTCTCTATGTAGTCCTTTAACACTGGGATCCTTATGTTGGAGTGACTGTCTTTTTGATGGCTTTTCTGAAATGTGCTGTGATTTTGGAAGATGCTGTAAGCAGTTTATATCTTCTGGATAATTCAGCACTTCACATTGACTCATCAGGTCATTTAGAGCAAGCAAAAAAGATCAAATTTGACAAGAAATTTAATATTTTCTGCATTATGTAATTTCTAGTCTTCTGAATGGATTTTCTGTAGGTTTTATTTTGCTTTGTCTTAACTGAACTAAGCTTCTCCTACTTGTAGTGTTGGGAGAAATCCTTTAGTTCTTTCACTGTAAATGTCTGGTGGTCCCCTATTTCTTAATGGACAGTAGGCTCTTCTGAGGTGCAATTTATTGTGTCCAAAATGTGTGTCTGAGCTAAAAGGAACTTGGTAAAGTGCCTTCCATCCCAGATACTGTTAAAAATCTGGCCTGTGCTGGCTTTCACATGTGCTACATCTTCTGCTTGGATTAGCTCTGGGATTTCTCCCATTTATTTTCTTTTCCTTTTTCTGTGGTTTGAAATAGCCCTGGTGAATAATACTGAGTACTCTGAAGGTGGTAGTTGCAAAGTATCTCCCTAGTTCCTTTGCAAGGCTGTTGCACATGTGAACATTGCATTTTCTCCTTGCTGGGCAGATCACTGAGGCCTGTGGTGGCGTTCCTGAGCATGAGTGTAGCAATGGTGGGAAGCATGGCTTCTATCATATCTGCAGAGGGATCCAAAGCACACTTGTCTCTTGCTGTCTAGGTCTTGCTGTCTAGGCTGGTTTTGGTGTTATTTCTGCATTAAATATGAACTACATTCTGTTCCATAAACATCACCATATGTACATCAACAGTTGCTATGCTACAATGCTATTTGTGCTTCCAGTCGTTTTATCTCATCTTTGTCATCAGCTGTCATAGCTGTGGTTTTTTGGCGGGTGAGAAGCAGAAGATTTTGCATATATTTTAATGTGTCTTATTGAACAAAATGAATTCTTCATATGTGCATATAGCTAGAAACTATCTAGGGGCAATTCATGGGTCTGATACATAGGGTATATTTGGTTAAAATTGTTTTCTGAGCTTCCTGCTGGCAGACATCCTAGCATAAGATAATACTGTAATTTAGCAGTTTCTTTCCTCATTGAAGGAATGGGAAGACACTTTTGTTAAACGTTTAACTGCAAACTTTTCTGATTATGATTATACATTGCTTTCCTTACTACTTTAATTGCCCATTGCTTAATTTTTTCTGCCAGCACATAGTTTAGGTTTGCTGGATCTTAATGGAAATAAAATTGCAGCTTTGCTAGACATAATGATAAAAGTTTCTTATTGAACTGGTTTTTGGAAAAATGTGCTACTAATATGACTTGTGAAAACACAGACCTTGGCAGGCAATTACATCCCAGACTGTAAAGGACTGATGGGTGGAGGAGAAGATTTTACACTGTAGACACAGATAAAGTGTAAGATATTTCTGTAAAGTTGGATGAGATGATTCATTTTATTTAAATTTTGAATATATCTTCACAACTCCCCCTTCATAAGTGGGATAGCCGTAATGTCTATTTTTGCATCTTTAAATTCTTTCATGCTCTTTCCATCTTACTGAAAGTAAAAAGTGTTCAGAGAATTCCATTGACAGAACACATATCAGAGCTTTGCTTCTGAGCAGCATTCATGCATGGATTGTCTCACTGCTTCATGCTTCACAGAACATTGCTGGCTTTTAATACTTTGTTTTTCTTCAGTTTCCTGAGCCTTCTCTCCTTCAGAAATTCAATTAGTGACACTCAATTATTTTTTCTGTTCTTGTTCAATAATTCACGTAATGCTGCCTATGTACCCAAGAACAGCTCCTTTATTCCCTCATTCCTTGAAAATTCTCCCATTGTTTTGAATTGTTGGGGTTTTTTTCCTTTACACAGCTTCTCATATATGAAAGGACCTTTTCTGAGTTTGTACATGAATCACACTTACCATATAACTTACAATGTGCAATTGTTTTCCAGCAAAAATGAATATTCAGAGGTTTTTATTTTGTATTTTGTATCTATGTATTTTTAAATATCAGCTATGTTCAGCCATTAAAGAAATGTGAAGGGAACAAACCCTAATAAAAACCTTTCATTAAAGCAGTTACTTCTTTAATTGCACTTAATTATTCTCAGTAAAATACAGTGTGCTCAGAATCTTGATGCCGTGTAATACTGTTTCCAATTCTGTTAGGTAAGTGTCTGAATTCTGAAATTCTTCATCAGACTGTTATTTAGGAAATAAACACCCTCACTGTTCTGCCATCTCAGTGCCTAATGAGGAGTTTTGACATTCACCTGTCTACATTAACAGTACTTTCCAATTGTTTCTGTTCAGGCTGTCACTTAACCACATAGTCCAGTCTCTAGAAGATTTTGGGATCTAACCTAATGCTTCTTTGTTCTGTTTTGTACTTCAGTCTTTTCTGGACTGTTAGCAGAAGCAGAAAACCTATCAGCAGCCTTATGATCAAAAGTAATAGAAGTAACAGCAGCCTTTCAAAACTATGGCATTTATGCACATTTCCAAATATTTTTGAGAATCATAAAGATGAAAACCTTGATCAGAAAAGGAGAATTTGAGGCTCAAGCTAGTTTAATTACAGATATCACTTTGATGGCTCAAAATTTTGTGTGTATTATTGAGACATACAGTCCATTTAGAAAACAATTGCAGTTCCTTGCATCATACCCCTTCTCCATCTCAAAAAAATGGAAATGATATTTATTTAATTACTTATGCTTGTTGGAGGGTTAAAAAAGTACTGTAAAGCAGGTTCAGCTGGCTGGCAGGGATAAGCTAATTTTATTTTCATTTCTGTTATTAAAACTATAGACTGTTAATTCCTGTACAAATTTTAACAATTGAGGATATAACACACAAAATGCAAGGTCTGTTAGAATGGGCTCCGTGTGATGGGAATAGTCTTTTTGCAAACTTCATTGATGTAAAATACCTTTTGTTTCCAGTCTCACTGATGTATATGTAAAAAACCAACACCCTACCACCACCCACTACCACAGCAAAAAGCCCATTAACAACAAAAAACCCCAGCTAACCAGCCCAAATCTGTTGATGTTTGTCAACTCCTGCATGTTGTAGAGGAGGCTGAGCAGGTGTGGTCTGCATTAATGAAATATATTCAGTAGATGTAGTACAACTGCCTTTACCTTCTTCATTATATTAATGCTGAGAAGATTTTTAAAGGAGAACTTGTGACCTAATCATAACAAAACTGAGTTGTCTACTGATGAGAAAGAAAAATGACACTTTTTTACTTGAATTTTGTCTGGTTTTTTGTCTCTGCTGTTGAGGGCAGATACAAACACACACACTTTCCCTGTAGACATGAAGTACCTTTATTGCCATTTGAATCAGAGATGCTCTTAGCAATGTTCAAGGGTAATGTATTTGGCAATAGTTTCGGTGAGGTAACTCTGGTCTTCCATTGAAACTGAGTTGAATTAAACAGTTGAAATTAAGTCCAGTTCCATCTTGCTTCTCACTTCAGACAGGTGTTTGTATCTTTGTTTGTTTGTATGTTCTTCATTTCATCCTCTCTGCTTCTTGTGTGTGTACTGAGTGTTTCCTTCATTAAGCTACAATTGAGTTAGGAATTGGTTGGACATTTATTTTAAGTCATGCTGTAAATGTTCCAAATATGCACAAAAAATTACATCAACGAGAAAATACTCGGTTTTCTGCACACAGGCTATCCTGGATGTACGTCTGAAAGTTGGCAGGGATCTTTACTCACTTTGTGAATACTCATGGCTGCGAAGGAGCCATATAATGATTGTTTCTCATAGAGAAAGCAGGTGCCTTCAGCTGCTGAGACTAATGACAGCCACCTGGTGTAAAGAAAGAAGGAGCTGGAAGATACTGGTTTTTATGTTTGCATTTAGTCCTCAGGCTCTCAAGCCATCTCAATGAGAAAAGAGGGACAGAAGCCTTCAAAGCCAGCAAGAATCAGTGGCATGAAAAAGGTTTTCTAAAATATTTCATGTTTTCAGTTCTTTTAATACCCAGCCTGTAAATAGCAAAAATTATCAACCTAACTGAACTCGAAAATTACTCTCTGAGTTAGAGCAGTAATTCACTCTTGCCTGTAAGTAAATAGCTTGTAATGACAGCTGTAACTTGCCTGAGTTGAAAGCAAAGGACAAGTATGTTTTACCATTTCTAACTGTGTTTCAGGGAAGTGAAAATGTTCTTTTTGTTCTCTGCATCAGAGGATGCATAAAAAGGAGAAATATAGGGGGAACAGTCAAATATAATACTGACAAATTAATGGAGGGGTTTAATCTTACAGGCCTTGGTAGGGGTTGTAACTCAAATTACCACAATACATCTACTGGCAGCCATTTCTTGGAATGTGGGATTGGAATTTCTTGCAGAAAGCTGCTTCTGAATCTGACTCTGCCATTCACCAGAGCCATAATTTTTTAGCAAGTAACTTTGCAACACTGTGTCTGTTTCCTACACATGATTCTCTGCTGAGTGGAACAGGAGCTATTTCTGATTATATGTATTTGTTGTACTTGACAAGTACAAATACTTGACAAAAAATACTGATGGTCTATAGTATCGTTGTAGGACAAATAATCAGAGAGGAAAAAGCTTGAAGAAATAAATTCTTCCATTGCCTGTAAAAAGGCTAGAGAAGAGGTTGATCAAGGTCAAAAAATTACTTAAGGCCAATTAAGAACATTCTTTTGTAGAACCCTGATTATTTTTGTAATAACCAAAAATGTTTGTCTAGGCTAACCAGTGAGATAAATGAATAATGTACATTGCTTGAGCATAATCCTGCTACTGATTTTATATAAATGTGTAACTTTGTTCTTGCAGAGCTCAGTCAGAGGTGCAATAGAGTTCTCTCATTTAAGTTGTGAGGGAGTTTGGGCACTAAAGGACTTTTTTTGTTGCTCCTGGTAGCAAATTATTCCTCAGAAGGTATATTTATAAACATTAATCGAATCCAGTGATTTTGATTTTATCATAATCATTCTTTACTTTGCAACCCAGTTGTTGGATGTAATTTCAAATAATCAAAACAGAAACATCGTGATTACTTTTCTGTTTATTTTTTTCCCAGAAAACCAATCAGAAGAAAAATCAGAAAGCGGCAGCGTTGGTGAGTACAGACATTTTCTTTGAAGCACTTAAGAAATTACTTATTACTGCAGATTTCCAGTTTTGGTTCTTAAGAAATTGCTAAATTAAAAAAAGCTCCTTTTAAAAATATTTTGTAGAATATCATAACATTAAAAAATAACTTCATAACTGTTTATCTGCTGTGCCCAAAATTTTAAATTATTAATATTTTATTTATATATATATATATATATATATATATATATATATATATATATGTAATAATTTATTTCCCTTAAAAGAAGGGGAATAAAATGATTGATGAGGGAGAGGTTTAGAATGTAATGTTCTTTGCAATGTTGTTTTTTTTGTTTGTTTCAATTTGTTGTTTGTCTACCTCTAGTTTGAATTATTTTCTTTAGGTTGGAAATTTTGTGACACATTTCCAGAACTTTTTTACTTGATTTCAATTGCATAAACTAAGCAGTCATAAAAATAGTCCATAAAAAGTAGTATTATCTCTGGTGCACATGGATTAAATAGTATTGGGACTGGAGTGCACTTGTTACGTGGTAATGGCACAGAGAGGAGATGGCTCATGTGAAAGGTGTGAAAGAGTTTCAAACTCCTACTTTTCGTTAAAAGAATTTCCTAAACAAAACTCTAATGCTAGGGGGTGTTTAAAATGTCATCTCGAAGGTACTTTTTGGACAATTAAACATGGAGATGTCTGCTTTTTCTAGTATCTGACATCTTTGAGTTGCCTTTCAGCATCAAATACTGTCAAAAGTGTATAGTTTGTGTCTGGCTAGAGGTAGGGTTTGGGTTTTGTTTTCTGTAGCAGGGAATTTTTTGTAAAATGGAGATTCCTTCTAGTACACTGGCCTAAGCATGTCAGAAGGCTGGTGTTAGTCTGCAGACTTGTACTGAATCCAAGGTATGCTTTATAGCTTGCAATTCTTATTTAATTGGTAAAACCTGTTCAGTCTGATTCTGTGTGAATTGTGGTGCAGTTTTAAGGTAAGAAGGAGTACTTCCTAGAGATTGGCATTTTATACCACTACAAGACTGGGATTCATGGCTATGCAGTGTCTCATGTAAATCAGATATTGAGATTTTAGCTGCTAAAATGAATCAGAATTTTGATACTTCCATTTAGTTGGTTTTTTTAGTTGTAAGGGTGCACTCTTGGTTTTGTTTTGTTTTCATTTGTGTTTGAATGGTTGAATTGTCTCTCTTGGTGCCTCCTCCGTGTTCCGTGAATGTTGTGTAAGATGGCCACGTGTTCAGTTGTTTATATTTTTGCTTCAGCCAGAAGAATTAATTACTGTATGGTGTGAGCTCTTTAAATATGCTGACAAGATAAGTTCTAAACCCATTTTATGGAATCAAACTGGATATGGATTCATTCTCTGAGTCATGGTATTTGGTTACCCTGGGGCACATAAAGGAGGACTCTCAGCCATCAGTTACACCATTTGCTTATTCACTTTTTTCTCAAAATCATTGTGGAACTTAGATGACCTTTTCCAAACTATCTCTCAGGTAATTCAGGCTATGTAGTATTCATTTTTTTCTGTTAATCTACTGTTTCTTTGCCTATATCAAGTGCTTTTGAGGCAAGTATGATGTCTTTTATGTTTTTATTTAGCATGTTAGCATAACAAGATCCTTTTGGATCTTACTAAATTAAAATATGTAAGGTTTAGTCATAGTTAGTAAGTAAAGAAAGTAAATGGGATATGACATTCCAAAACCATTTGATTTACATCTTTAAAAGATGTTTACATTGGCAAGGTGCTGTCAAACTTTGGAATTTATGTTGTAAATCCTTAGCATTATGTATGATATTTTTAATCACATTTATTGTTGGGATAGTTGTAAACCATCTAGAAATGCCATTATAGTGTTGCTACTCTACATGATGCTGTTTGAGAGAGATGGTGAGTGATACTGGATCACACCTAAGTTCATCTGGCTGGTGTCCTGTCCTCAGTGGTGGTCAGTAGCAGATACCTTGAGATGAGAGTAAGAGCAGTGTAGAAGCACAATGGTACCTCCCCAGAATACTTCTCATAGAATCATAGAACAGTTTGGTTTGAAAGGGATCATTAAAGCTCACCTTGTTCAGCACCCCTGCAACGAGCAGGGGCATCTCCAACTAAAACAGGTTGCTCAGACCCCTGTCCAACCTAACCATGGAGGTTTGCAGAGATGAGCACCTGGCTCCTTTCTGAGGAACCTGTTTCAGCTTCTTCCAGCCTTTAGTGATTCACAGCTCAGAGAGTTCTAGAACCAGAAATTATGGTGTTTTACCTAACAGGACCTCATGGATTTTTCATCTATGAAGTGTCCCTGTTGGTTGAGCCCATGTAAAATCTTTAGTATCTATAATATCTTGAATGATGTTTACAGTCAAAATATTCAGGAATCAAGACATATGTGAGACAAGTTCTCTTAAACTAAATTTGAGTTCCTTTTGCATTTTATAATTTTAGATCAGTTTTTCCATACAGAAATCTATTTGTTTAGAGCTTGTGATAAACAGTGCTTGGTGATTCAACTAGTGTTGTTTAGTGCCTGAAGGTTGGTTTATGCTAAAAGTGAAAGGAGCATAGCAAATAACACACTAAGCTAAAGGAGAAGAGAAATGAGGATTGGCTTTACTTGGTCCTATATGAGGATGAGCAAGCAATTTAAATCCAAATATGTGTATGTGGCTCTTGTTTGTTTATGACATTGCTTGCACCTACCTGAAAGTGCTGTCAGTGGTGACAGAAGCTGTGAAAACCAAGCATTTGTGCCAGTATAAAGTGTGACCTGCTCCCCCCCAATAAAAATACTCAGAAGCTGCTGCTCTGAGCCTGTGTAGTCTGCTGAGAATGATACAGTAAAGAAATGCATTCTCATGTAAGAGCAAATTCAGTTAGGTGCAGTCCTTGTGGAAGTGCATTATATGGAAGCTGCAGGGGCAGCAACTGAGTATTTAAAGTTGTCCAAGCTTTGAGCATGTAGACAGACAATATAGGGTGAATTTAGTATTGAAATGTTACCAATTGTGAGTGTATGAATGTGACTGCAGACACAAGCATACAACACTCAAACTGTAGATACCACTTCCTTAATTTCTTGATATTGTAGAAAAAAAAAAGGGATTCATATGTCGATTATACATATGTTGGAATATCTGAAATTCATTGTAAGTATGATGATAACCACTGAGCTCCATGTGATAAAATCAGCAATTTTTTGTAAAGACAGAGGCTTCTTATGGTATAACATGGGATGGTATAAAGCTGCTAAATGCACGTTTGATTTTATCCTCTTTCAAGCAGTTAACATATATTAAATAAACTCCAAAAGCAAAAATCTAACTGAAAAGTGATTGTCAAGAGGAATAAAACAGTAACTTTTAATTTAAATGCTAGCTTGCAACTCAGTGTTGAAGATAATTTGGATGCTGCCATGTTCAAGACGCAGAAACAGTTTTTATCTTAGAAATATAACTGGGTTTGTTGGCAGATAAATATGACACAGCCTAAAGTACAAGCTTCCCAGTAGCTTTCCAGGAGCCATAATCACTGTGAGACTCCATTGGTAGCTGTTGAAACACACAAAGAAGCTTTAAGGTATATGTAGTCAAGGCCTATGGTACTGGTTATAATAAATATTGTGGAAGAACAGGGAAAGTGCAGTGGTACAATAGCAAAAGGATATGGATTTAATGTAGGCCAGCATTAACTGGAGTTAGTTTTTTGAGAATTTGTGCAAATTTCCTTGGTGCCCTTAGAGTGTGGCTATTTATTTTAGGATATTGTATGAATAGTCTAACATGTATGTCTGAGCAAACGAATGCACTTATTGTCAGTTTCTCTCCTGAGAACAGAACCTGATACAAAACAATGGGAGTTAATCCCATGACCTTATTTTGTCCTCCTATGATGTCCATGTCCAGCTTGTAGAAGTAATGAATAAACAGAAGTGTGCTTTTGGCTTGTACCAGAGTTCTTGGTTTTCCTTATGACTCTTGAGAAATCCCAGGAATCTTAGCCATGCCAGGAATTGCAGATCATGACTTCACAAATTGTGTTTGTCTTCTTTGAGGTATTTTGCTGATTGTTGCAGTTCACCCACCTACCAGCATTTGATGGGTTTGATCACATTTGATGCGTTCAGAGTTTTGGAGTATTGCAAATTCAGAGCCTTGAATGATGGATCAAAGGGGCAGAGGAAAATCAAATGTTTTCTGTTTTGGCCAGTACAAGACTGACATGTAAGGCTTGCAGGAGTCAGTTTCAAAGTGAAATTTGAAACTTTTGTGGGCAAACTCAGAAATCATAATCTTGGTGTGGCAGAAAAGTTATAGAAGTGGACTTTTATCACCATATGGAAGGATAAGATAGCCTACATGTTAGATTTCTGCCCTGTTGGGAAAGAGTTTTATTTGCTGTTCTTTTTAGAAAATGTGTTGGAAATGTCACGAGACCTGGCAGTGCTGTAGGCCTTAGATAATGTTAGTATTGATAAGACTTCTAACCTCAAGAGTACCTTTTCCTCTCTTTAGCTGATTCTTATCAACCTGGCTGGCAGGACCTTTAATTTGTCTCCTCTGAGACTACCAGTTTCAGCACTGAGGAAATGTACTGCTTTATCCCTAATACTTGCCAAAGGCCTTATTTAAGTAGTAGAGAGGCAATAAATGACTGGGTTTGGTGTTACAGTTGCTTGTCTGTTTACATTTTTTCATGCTTAGCCTGTTCATTGCTAGTTTGTTTGCTTATTTTTTCTTCCTGATTGAGAGAGTCTGTATCCACCTCTGACCTGTTTTTTTTCACTTTATCTGTTCGCTATGGTACAAAATCAGGAATCTCCTAGGAGCTAACAAATAGCTTTCTGTGGAGCTGCAGCAGGAGATTTGTAGCTTGAAGTTTTCTATTAACAATTTTTTTTTAAAGTTTATTCCTCTGACTTCTGCTACAATAAAGAAAATTGCCTCTTTGAAAGCTGGCATATGAAAAGCAAAAAGAGAATTTTGTAAGA